TTTGTATTTCTGCAATGTCAGTTGTTACTTCTCCTTTTTCATTTCTAATTCTATTGATTTGAGTCTTCTCCCACTTTTTCTTGATGAGTCTGGCTTATGGTTTATCAATTTTGTTTATCTTCTCAAAGAACCAGCTTTTAGTTTTATTGATCTTTGCTATAGTTTCCTTAATTTCTTTTTCATTTATTTCTGATCTGATCTTTATGATTTCTTTCCTTCTGCTAACTTTGGGATTTTGTTGTTCTTCTTTCTCTAATTGCTTTAGGTGTAAGGTTAGGTTATTTATTTGAGATGTATCTTGTTTCTTAAGGTGGGATTGTATTGCTATAAAGTTCCCTCTTAGAACTGCTTTTGCTGCATCCCATAGGTTTTGGGTCGTCATGTTTTCATTATCATTTGTTTCTAGGTATTTTTTGATTTCTTCTTTGATTTCTTCAGTGATCTCTTGGTTATTAAGTAGTGTTTTGTTTAGCCTCCATGTGTTTGTATTTTTTACAGATTTTTTCCTGTAATTGATATCTAGTCTCATATGTTGTGGTCGGAAAAGATACTTGATATGATTTCAATTTTCTTAAATTTACGAAGGCTTGATTTGTGACCCAAGATACGATCTATCCTGGAGAGTGTTCCATGAGCACTTGAGAAGAATGTGTATTCTGTTGTTTTTGGATGGAATGTCCTAAATATCAATTAAGTCCATCTTGTTTAATGTATCATTTAAAGCTTGTGTTTCCTTATTTATTTTCGTTTTGGATGATCTGTCCATTGGTGAAAGTGTGGTGTTAAAGTCCCCTACTATGATTGTGTTACTGTCAATTTCCCCTTTTATGGCTGTTAGTACTTACCTTATGTTTTGAGGTGCTCCTGTGTTGGGTTCATAAATATTTACAATTGTTATATCTTCTTCTTGGATTGATCCCTTGATCATTATGCAGTGCCCTTTTCTCTTGTAATTGTCTTTGTTTTAAAGTCTATTTTGTCTGATATGAGAATTGCTACTCCAGCTTTCTTTTGATTTCCATTTGCATGGAATATCTTTTTCCATCCCCTCACTTTCAGTCTGTATGTGTCCCTAGGTCTGAGGTGGGTCTCTTGTAGACAGCATATATATGGGTCTTGTTTTTGTACCCATTTAGCCAGTCTATGTCTTTTGGTTGCGGCATTTAATTCATTTACATTTAAGGTAATTATCAATATGTATGTTCCTATTACCATTTTCTTAATTGTTTTGGGTTTATTATTGTAGGTCTTTTCCTTTTTTTGTGTTTCCTGCCTAGAGAAGTTCCTTTACCATTTGTTGTAAAGCTGGTTTGGTGGTGCTGAATTCTCTTAGGTTTTGTTTGTCTGTAAAGGTTTTAATTTCTCCGTCAAATCTGAATGAGATTCTTGCTGGGTAGAGTCATCTGTGTAGTAGGTTTTTCTCCTTCAATACTTTAAATATGTCCTGCCACTCCCTTCTGGCTTGCAGAATTTCTGCTGAAAGATCAGCTGTTAACCTTATGGGGATTCCCTTGTGTGTTATTTGTTGTTTTTCCCTTGCTGCTTTTAATATTTGTTCTTTGTATTTAATTTTTGATAGTTTGATTAATATGTGTCTTGGCGTGTTTCTCCTTGGATTTATCCTGTATTGGACTCTCTGTGCTTCCTGGACTTGAATAACTATTTCCTTTCCCATATTAGGGCAGTTTTTAACTATAATCTCTTCAAATGTTTTGTCAGTCCCTTTCTTTTTCTCTTCTTCTTCTGGGACCCCTATAATTCGAATGTTGGTGCATGTTAATGTTGTCCCAGAGGTCTCTGAGACTGTCCTCAATTCTTTTTGTTCTTTTTTCTTTATTCTGCTCTGCAGTAATTATTTCCACTATTTTATCTTCCAGGTCACTTATCCATTCTTATGCCTCAGTTATTCTGCTATTGATCCCTTCTAGAGAATTTTTAGTTTCATTTATTGTGTTGTGCATCATTGTTTGCTCCTTAGTTCTTCTAGGTCATTGTTAAACGTTTTTTGTATTTTCTCCATTCTATTTCAAAGAGTTTGGACATCTTTACTATCATTATTTTGAATTCTTTTTCAGGTAGTCTGCCTATTTCCTCTTCATTTGTTAGATCTGGTGGGTTTTTGCCTTGCTCCTTCATCTGCTGTGTGTTTCTTTGTATTCTTATTTTGCTTAACTTACTGTGTTTGGGGTCTCCTTTTCACAGGCTGCAGGTTCGTAGTTCCCATTGTTTTTGCTGTCTGTACCCAGTGGCTAAGGTTGGTTCAGTGGGTTGTGTAGGCTTTCTGGTGGAGGAGTGCCTGTGTTCTGGTGGATAAGGCTGGATTTTGTCTTTCTGGTGGGCAGGTGCACGTCTGGTGGTGTGTTTTGGGGTGTCTGTAGGCTTATTATGGGTTTAGGCAGCCTCTGTGCTAATGGATGGTGTTGTGTTCCTGTCTTGCTAGTTGTTTGGCATAGGGTGTCCAGCACTGTAGGTTGCTGGTCGTTGAGTTGAGCTGGGTCTTCGTGGTGAGATGGAGATCTCTGGGAGATGTTCACCGTTTGATATTATGTGGAGCTGGGATGTCTCTTGTGGACCAGTGTCCTGAACTCGGCTCTCCCACCTCAGAGGCACAGTCCTGACAACCAGCTGGAGCACCAAGATCCTGTCAGCCACACAGCTCAGAATAAAAGGGAGAAAAAAAGGAAAGAAAGAAAGAAGGTAAAATAGAATAAAATAAAGTTACTAAGATAAAGAATAATTATTAAAAATTTTTTTAAAAAGTAATAAAAATAAAGAACAGAGGAAGCAAACCAAAAAACAAATCCACCAATGATAACAAGTGCTAAAAACTATACTTAAAAAAAAAAAATAAATAAAATGGACAGACAGAACCCTAGGACAAATGGTGAAAGCAAAGGTATACAGACAAAATTACATACAAAAGCATACACATACACACTCACAAAAAGAGAAAAAGGGAGAAATATATATCTATATCGTTGCTCCCAATAGTCTACCGCCTCAGTTTGGGATGATTTGTTGTCTATTCAGGTATCCCACAGGTTCAGGGTACATCAAGTTGATTGTGGAGCTTTAATCCGCTGCTCCTGAGGCTGCTGGGAGAGGTTTCCCTTTGTCTTCTTTGTTCTCACAGCTCCCGGGGGCTCAGCTTTGGATTTGGCCCCGCCTCTGCCTGTAGGTCGCTGGAGGGCGTCTGTTTTTCCGCTCAGGCGGGACGGGGTTAAAGGAGCCGCTGACTCGGGGGCTCTGGCTCACTCAGGCCGCGGGGGAGGGAGGGGCATGGAGTGCGGGGCGGGCCTGTGGCGGCAGAGGCCGGCATGACGTTGCAGCAGCCTGAGGCGCGCCGTGCGTTTTCCCCGGGAAGTTGTCCCTGGATCCCGGGACCCTGGCAGTGGCGGGCTGCACAGGCTCCCTGGAAGTGGGGTGTGGCTAGTGACCCGTGCTCGCACACAGGCTTCTTGGTGGCGGCAGCAGCGGCCTTATCGTCTCAAGCCCGGCTCTGGGGTCTGCGCTTTTAGCCTTGGCTCACGCCCGTCTCTGGAGCTCCTTTAAGCGGAGCTCTTAATTCCGTCTCCTCGTGCACCAGGAAACAAAGAGGGAAGAAAAAGTCTCTTGCCTCTTCGGCGGCTCCAGACTTTTCCCCCCGACTCCCTCCTGTCTAGCTGTGGCGGACTAGCCCTTTCAGGCTGTGTTCACGCTGCCAACCCCAGTCCTCTCCCTGGGATCTGACCGAAGCCGGAGCCTCAGCTCCCAGCCCCGCCCGCCCTGGTGGGTGAGCAGACAAGCCTCTCGGGCCGGTGAGTGCCGGTCAGCACCAATCCTCTGTGCGGGAATCTGTGCGCTTTGCCCTCCTCACCCGTTGCTGCGCTCTCCGTTGCTGCGCTCTCCTCCGCGGCTCCGAAACTGCCCCCCTCCGCCACCCGCAGTCTCCGCCCGTGAGGGGGCTTCCTAGTGTGTGGAAATCTTTCCTCCTTCACAGCTCCCGCCCACTGGAGCAGGTCCCGTCTGTATTCTTGTCTCTGTTTTTCCTTTTTTCTTTTGCCCTACCCAGGTACGTGGGGAGTTTCTTGCCTTTTGGGAGGTCTGAGGTCTTCTGCCAGCATTCAGTAGGTGTTCTGTAGGAGTTGTTCCACATGTAGATGTGTTTCTGGTGTATTTGTGGGAGGAAGGTGATCTCCACATCTTACTCTTCCGCCATCTTGAAGCTCCCCCCCCAGTACTTTATTACTTTGGATGGCTGAATTACATTCCATGGTAGAGAGAGACCATATTTTTTTTAGCCATTCATCAGTTGATGGACATTGAGTTATTTCCATTTTTCGGTGAATAGTGCTGCTCTGACAGACATTAGTGTTCAAATATTGGTTTGAATACCTGTTTTTAGTTATTAAGAGTAGAATTTCAAGGTTATATGGTAAATTCTATTCTGTGGTAAATTCTAACTTTTTGAGGAGCCAGCAAACTGTTTTCCATGGTGACTGAACCATTTTATATTCCTACTAACAATGTACAAGGGTTCTGATTTCCCTACATCCTTGTCAATGCTTATTTGAGTTAAAAAAATTATTATAACCATCCTAGTGGGTATGAAGTGGTATCTCCTTGTGGTTTTGATTTGCAATTCCTTGATAAAATATTCATATTTTAATGCATAGAATTAATCATAACATGAGCTTTGATAAGACAAAATCAACATGAAAATGAGTGGCTTCGTCTATCTCCAGGAGATTATTTAAGATTGGTGTATGATCTCCCCTAGAGTGAATGATTCTGGGCTGAAAATAAAACACACGTTGCTTTGAAATTAGAAGAAAGTATGTGGATAATGAGACTACAGTTATCGCCAACCTAAAAAAATACTGCTTAAAGTAATGAGGAAAAAAAGAAATTACATCACGTTTTGTTTCCATGCCACCTGACAAAAGATACTTAGTTCTTTGCATGGCATTTCTTTATGTAATTCTTTCCTGTCTTAATGGTCTATTTATTTATTTTCACAGTGTGAGTGAAGACACCCAGGATGGCTCAGGGATCCGGGGATCAAAGAACAGTGGGGATTGCAGACCCAGAGGAGAGTTCTCCAAATATGATAGTCTACCGCAAAGTAAGGCATCTGGTTAAACGCTGGGGGTGCTGCCGTGTACGTGTCTGTGTTCTGTGTAGGGTTGACTGATGGTTGATGGCTCCACAAATGTTTTCTGCCTAAACGGCCTTGACTGTTGAATGAATAATTTTCTTCTCATATCCTCTGATTCCCGAATTTTAAAATTCAAGGAAGTTAGGTCTTGCCATCCTTGGTATTGAACACTTGAAAAACACTCTATGGCTTAGTTTTCTTTAAACCAAAGATTGCCTGAACAATGCAGATAGACACGTGTTGTCATTTTGTGTAAAGGCCTTAGTGTAACATTAATTAATTGAATGTGTTCAAACCCGTAGTACAGATAAGATCTGGTCTAGATACTGTGGGAGGGACACAGAGGTGTGTATGTATTAGACAGTTTACAGCTGGTAGGAGACATAAGATGTACACAGATAACTGTTACAGCGTCCAAGTGTTAATTTCCAAAAGAGAAGTGCAAGTAGAGTGTTACATAATCTCAGAGGAGGGGGCGATTACTTCCAGCCTCTGAGATCTGGGATGGGCTGTGGAGGAGAGGCCTTTGAACTCAGTTTTAAAGGATCTGTAGGATTCCCTTCTGTGGAAAATAGAAGTGAAGAGCAACATTCAAGGCAGTGAGATGCATTCAGCAAAGGCAAAGAGCTAGAGAAAGTGAAGGGCAACCAGAACCAGTTAGCTTGGGCAGAGGATGAATTACAAGTAAATGGAGTAAATGGAGGAGAGATTTGGGGAAGAGAGTCTGGGATGGAGCCAGATTTTAGAATGTTGAATCATAGGCAATTTAATCATCAGAAACTTTAGTGCCAGGAGTTGTAAGATCAACATTTCTTTGGGATTATGAGCCTTGCGCCAGTGTGCCAAGTGGACTGTTATCGAGGGTGGGTTGGAGGCTTTGGTGGGGCGCTTCCGTATCTGTGAGAAAGGTAAGGAGGACCCTAATCTAGCAGGGAAAATGCCCCTCAGAAAGGAGCAGGACTGAGCAGAGAGATTAAAGAGTCTGAATTAGCAATGACTTGGAAACGGAATGAATATGAAATTAGAAGGTGAATAAAGAGTCAGAGATAACTGGGTTTTTGACCTTGGGTGATAGAAAGGCATTGGTGCTATTAATTCAAATAGGAATATTGGGAAGCATATGTTTTCAAGGAAGGAAATATGGTACATAAGTTTTATTTGTGCATTGCTGAATTTGAGGAAACAGTTGCTGCTTCTCATACACCTTTTTGATGTCTGCACGTTTGTAAAAATGTAGCCTAACTGTATCATATATTAATAAGGAAAATGAGTTCATCTCATTCATTTCGCTAAATATTTGAGTTGTCAGCTGAGTTCTGTGTATTCTGCAAGAGTCTGTGTTCTGTCTATGTTAATCATATGTGCAATGTTGAACTAGATATTCCTGGATGAACAATATGGTGAATTTTTCTTTTTTCCTTGTAAAAACAGAGCTCTCAAACTAATCTTGCTTTTAGTACCAAATTCCTTAATCCTTTGCTTTGAAAAAGAATGCTTAGATAACCCATCCCTAAGAGAGATGTCTATTAAGTTGTAGTAAAGAAAAAAAAGATTAGTGGGGCTAACCAAGTTGTGAGGCATATAGAATAATATAGACACGTTTATTCGTTACCTTCTTAACCCACCTCAAACTAGGAGACCCTCTGCCAAGCACATAGGAACATGGGGTTTGGGGTCAGATCTGGGTTAAAATTGCAACTCCGCCACTTCCTAGTGGTGTGACCTGGAGTCGGTTATTTAACTTCTGTGAGTCTCTGTTTCTTCATCCAGAAAAGGGGGAAAAGGTGGGAGAAAGGATAGTACCTCCAGGAGTTACTGTGAAGATTCATTTGGATAAAGTAATTAAAGCATCTTACATCCTGCTTGGTATAGAAGTGGTCCATGATTAATGCTTCTTTTTTTTTTTTATCTTTCGGTCTTGTAGCGATAATAACACTTGGAGAGGAAATAAATTATAAAATATATAAATGTTGGTGCTGTTAATAAGGTGATTAAAGTGCATTTATACAGTGAGTTGCTTTTTATGACACAGGAAAACAAGGCAGATATTTTTATTTTATTCAGGAGGTTGCAAATTAATGGATTATTAAAGGTTAATAAGAAATGTAAAGGTCATGTAATACAAACATCTTCCCACAAGAATGTTTGGTATTATGTTGAAAGGGAAAACTTCCTACAGGTTTGTGGGAACTTGATTTTTACTTTTTAGGTGGTATCAGGGGGCTCTTCATTTTTAAATTTTAATTTAGCTACAAAGTTGTAAAATGCTGTAATTGTTTAGAGAAATGACTATTAGTTATTTGGTTTCTATATTGGAAATCTGTCTTGCTTCCTCATGATAAATCTGTGGGGGGTATGTATGTGTTCATGTTATTTGCTATGTTAATTAATTGGTATAAAAAGGACATTGGATCTGTGCCATCTATTAGAAAGAAAGCAGGCACACTTATTACCCCGTATGGGTCCAGGACCTGGAATCATTTAAACCTAGTTAGTTTGACTAACTTAGGCCCTGGTTGTGTTTGAAACATGGGATATTCACCTAGTTTTCTGCTGTAGACTGACCACTGCCTATGACCAAGACTTACCTACTGCAGGACACTATCCTCAAGGTATAGGTAAAGATTGAATCTTGAAACCAAGGTTGATTCAAAATGTTTTCTATGGAAGTCCTCTTGTATAATGATGTATTCAAGGTCATAGCTATAAAATCAAACCTTTTCTCAGAGTTCTACAGCAAAAATTTAGATTAAAAATGTGGAAATAGTGCTTTCATTTTAATTTTCTTTCTCTTGCTTGTTATTTCTTTCTCTTGTCAGATGTTTTCAGTGTGAAATTTTTGCTTGGACTATGTTGTGTTGATTCAGATGCTGACATTTAAAAAGCTAAATCTAGAGAAATGAAACTTTTGAGTAAACCTCCGACTAATAAGTGTCCATAATGTTGTTGTGACTTTTAAATGCCATTTAGGATGGTAACCTTCTGACATATGAGTAATGATGGGTGGGTTTCTTAAGCCTATACTTTTCAGAATACTCTTTATTTTCTTTTCATGTGTTCTATGTCATTAACTATGAGAAGTTATCCTTTCCCAAGGCATGATTTATTTATTGACTTGAGCAGGCTTTCTAATTTAGTTTTTTTAATCCTTCATATTCACATTTTGGATTGGAGGTGTGCATGAAAAATGTATTGGTCACATTAAAAGTCTACTTAAAAGAAAGTCTTAATTATTCATTGTTGTCTAGACCTGTTAACCTTTTTTTCTTTTTCTTTTTCTTTTTTTAATCCTGGATCCAAAAGATCCTGGGGTCATTGAATTGCCCAATGTAATGATGATATTTGAACCTGGCTATACATCAGATCATTTAGGGGTACTTTATAAAAATGCTGGTCCTCAAAGAACCCCCAAGTTGTTTGTGTTTAATATGTCTGAGCTGGGTCCTAGGAATCTGAGTTTTAAAGTGTTCTCAAGAGAATCTGATGCCCAGCTAAGTTTGAAACACATTTATTTAGTGTCTTTTAAAATATCCAGGTGGAGTATGCAGTGTAAAGTCATGGGGAAGTCGGTGTCTTGAATTGGGTTTTTGATTTTGTAATTATTTGTAGATCTTTCAAGATGTAGAAAAACCAGGCTCTTAAAGAGTTAGAATTGAGGAATTTTAGTAGCTTCATCTTAGAGATTTTCTAGTCAATACCTTCATCTTATAGATGGGAAAATTAAAGTATGGGGAAGATGCATAACTTGCTGAAAGTTACTTGGCAATTTCCCAGTGAACCGGTGATTGTGTCCAGGTAACTCGAAAGCCCAATTGGTGTCCTCTCTCCTGTTATGTTATCAATCACAAACTAACATTACTACTACATTGTTGGGGCTGAAAGCCATTGGTTAAATTAAATAAATGAAAATACCACGTGGCAGATCTTTGGTTTTCGAGGTTATTCTCAGAGGTGTGACTTGGGTTACCTTTGAACATTTGTAATGCTCAAGTTTCATTCTTCTTGCTAGTGCTCTTGTTTCCTGGGTGAAGATGTTCTGAAATGTTTACTTTCTTTTATAGCTAGGAATTCTTTTGAGTAAGAGTAGGTTGCTTTCTGATTTTATCTGGTTCTCTGAGAGGTGTTGGTAATGTCTCCTGACAAATTTCCACCTGGACTGGCAATGTTATTTGGTAGAACTCTGGGAAATTAAATGGTAGGTGGACAGAGAAAATTGTAGCTTACCGTGACCCAGGCTAGGGTCAGGAGGTGGTACGATGTGATGGAAGATGCCAAACAGGGAGCCAAGAGCCCTGGATCACTTACTGCTTTGATTCTCTCGATGGGGAACTTCATCTTCCTGGCTCTGTTTCTTATTTTGCCTTCCTCCTTCCCAAGTAAGGAACACGTCTTACAAAAAATATGTATGTATTTAGTGTCTACATAAAATAGAAAGAAGCATGATACAATTAACCCTGTTTACTCACAGGGTAAACTTAATAAACAAACTCAATAAATAAAATACTGTTTTGGCTTCATTTCCTCTTATGTAAAGTGATGGGGATTGGACTAAATAATGTGCACAGAACTTCTCTGCAGTGACTTTGAGAAAGCTAGCAGCAGGACATTGTTTTGGAATTCATTGACGGCAGTTGTAGAGGCCAGTGCAGTTGAGAGTCAGGGAACCTGCAGACCCTGGTGACCAAGGCGCAATGAGGATTAGAAACTCTTTAATTAGCAAATATGTATCAAGTGTCATTTGTGTGCCAGACACTGTTAGATGCTAGGTAGGCAAGATGGATACTATTCCCTGAAAGAACCCATTGGCCAGTGGGGCAGAGATGGGATAACTAGGCAATTGCAATGCACATAGAGGTACATTGAGGGGTCTGGGAGGAGATAGAAGGGTTGGGAGGTCCATATCAGGAGAGAGGATAATGATGTCATAGAAGACATCCAGAGGGTTTGACCTGCCTTAATTCTTGAAA